CGTTAGTTAATTTTCCGTAAAAATTGTTTCCAAAGAAACTTCACCGATACAAGTCCTTTCTTAAATAAAACTGGTTTCTTCTTTCTGAATACAACTTTGCAATACACTTAATTTCCACAGTCACGCTATAACAAACGCTATAATTCACAACGAACGACTCACGTGCTCGACTCAATCGTCAGTTTCTCTCTGTCTGCAGTTCAATTACATTGTTGCCGTCACCTCTTACCGGTCTTAAATATACAAGACTACCGCATATCTAGTAGCCTCTCGAGGTTTCATGAACGTTTTAGAAGCGCATGACGTGTTACTAGCGTCACGTGACTTCCACTATCGTAACAATATACTGTCTTTTGGCGCGTTACATTGGGTATATTCATAGGCATGAGGATGAGAAGAGTTTCTCGAAATTTCAGCTTATGCAGCAATACAAACACTACACTAGTGTTTACGCACACACACATATTGTTGAGTCTTACTCCCGAGAAGTTTCTACAACTTTAGTGAATAGGCAGGAATTTCGCAATTATGATTTAACAATATAGGTTATGTACATTTCTCCATATAAATTTGACTTAAACAAATATCGACATTAAAATAGATATATAATAGTAAATCCGTCACAAGGATCATTGCAATACTGTGATGTCTGGCGAGTGTGAAACCAAGTGGGGCAGTCTGTAGTACCTCAACTTTAGACTTGGTCAAAGCCATCAAAGAGAGAGAGGATATGTCATTGGTAGATGCAGATGAGACAGTGAGCATCAGATGGTCAACCATGTGGCAGTAATGAGTTTTTACTGGCTCATGGGTATTCTGCCAGATTGACTACAAATCACAGAGGATCTTGAGGTTATGCAGGGCTGAGGGACGAGATGCCATTGGCAACTCATTGTTCTGCTTTCCTGGACCAGGTATTGACTACTCGCACAAGCTCTGATCATGTTTACCATGCTGTACCCACAACACTGAGAATATCTTGATCAAGTGATGGCTGTGAGGTCATTATGGGCTCACAAATCATGCCCCCAACATTGAAGTGCAACATGTGCAGGAGAGCCAACAATGGGCAGAAAATAATTCTGTAACTGCTCTGTAAAACTAACAAAGCCTATGTAAGCCTCGTCAATGACAGCTTGCACCAAAATCTATGACAGTCAGCCCATCTCTCTCATAACTAGGTGGGTCCTGGTAAGTGCCTGTTAAAAGTAAGAAGGAGAGAGGTAGAGTTCCTAGTTGATAAAGGAGTGGTCAGAACATTTGTTGATCTTATAGTATATCAGGCAATCTGAGTGAAACCACCACCTTGGCTAATGAAAACAAACTTTGTTCGAGTGAATGAAGAAAAATTACACATTAATATAAAGGTGATTCTTAAACCATGTCTAAAAGAACCCACTCATAGAATAAATGTAGTCATTTGTGCAACTGAAGAACTGGTGTTCCATAGGGGAATTATCTAATGCTGATCATACCAGACTCATGAACAATGGACAGGACGATTGTGTATGGAAGAGGAAATTAGAATAATCTCATATTCATGAGTAGTGATCTATGTTTTACTGTGGACGAAATTTAGCATGTAAGTGCTGTGTAACATGGTTATATAGCACCTGCATTAAAATAGATTATTTTCTATCATAAAGCAAGCAGTATTAGCTCTGGAAGTTATCTACCTGTGGATGGATGAAGACCCAATGTTGTTCTGCAATTATGAATGACCAGATATCCAATTTCATGCTGGGGCAGCCATTGGGATGATGAGCAAAGTGGAAGTAACTAAGGCTAGGATAATTATGGGGTTGCATCTGAAAGCAAGTGAACATTTACCAATGTATATAAGTTTGCTAGCTGAGATTTGAGAAGACAATCTAGATTCAATGCAGTGGCAGCAATGTAGTGAGATGTTAGCTGAATATGCCTATTCATTTATGGCACCAGATGGTAGATTAGTTCAAACAACAGTCACACAGAGACACAGAAGATACATGTCCAATTAAATAGCTGCCATGCAGGCTTTCCTTGGAGTATTAGGGATGTAGCCAATCTGAGGTACAACAGATGTTAGAAGATGGGATCATACAGTGCTTGGTTGTCTCTAGTAATGGATATCAGTAAGAAGAAAAGTATACTCTAGTACTGCATTACCTTAGATGGGTGAACATGGTAACTCATGTTGATGCTTATTCACTGCTACAAACAGTAGTACACTGGATACACTGGAAGGAGCCTGATAGTTAAATGCATTAGACCTGGCAGCTAGAAAGTTGGATAACGAGACTGCTTTCAGTACGAGAAATGGCTTGTACGAGTTTTGTATCATTTGATTTGGCCTGTGTAATGTGCTCACTACTTTCAAGAAGCGAGTGGATCTTATACTGAAGGAGAGGGAATGGGAGAAATTCCTTATCTGTGCTGATGACATCTTGGTATTTGGTTAGATGTTTGAGTTTGTGGCTGAAAAACTTAAAATAGTATTCCAGTGGATAAAGTTAGGCTTGAAATTGAAATCAGGTAAATGTGCAAATGTGCATTCCCATGCACAGAAGTGGAATTTCTCGGTAATATTTTGGGTAAAGACTTAAACT